GGTCCTTTTGATCTTGGATTTTTTAATGGATTTTGACAGTACTAAAGCATATAGTTCGAAATTATAGTTGATCTTGGCTTCTTAAGTGGATTCTGACAACAAATTGCATATAGACACCAAGTGTAGATGATCTTGGGTTCTCTCATATGGATTCTGACAGTACTTTGATTATACATGTAGTTCCAAGTATTGTTGATCTTGGCTTCTAATGACAAGATGATACTGGCTTCTTGTGTAAATTCTATCAGTTCTTTGCCAACAGTTTCCAAGTAAAGTTGAACATTCCAGGATCTTTCACAACAAATCACTCCTTCCTCTTACATACATGTACATGAAGCCTGAAATTAAATGTCAGAGTAATTCTGTAAGAAAATCAACCATGTTTGACATTTAAAAGCATAATGTAGTTCATATTTTAAATAAATGGGGAATGTGTCCATGGGACACAGATGATGCCCCCGCTTTAATACATATAAAGTTATAAAGGAACATAACTAAAGAACGGTATGAGTGACACTACCCAAATTTTTACTTGATCTGAGTTTTGTTGTAATAAGTAATGTGTATAAGTTTCATAACATTTGGATGAGGCAAACTAAAGTTAGAGAACGGAAACAAAAAATTTAGCAATTTTTCCATTTGTAAAGGGGCATAACTCTAAAACAGTAAAAGTGACACCACCAAAAAAAATTCAAACTTGATCTGTGTTTGTTGATAATAAGCATTGTGTATAAGACTTAAGTTTCATAATATTTGGTTGAGGCAAAATGAAGTTAGAGAACGGAAACCAATTTTGGGACGTACGTACAGACAGACAAATAGTGATTTTGTTTTTATATATATGTTGAATACAGACTTCTCAGGGCATGCTGTAAAGTTATTACTCTGCCTAAAAATTCTGAAATGCAGCTGACCTACATTTGTACTCCTTGTCAACCAAATTATGCTGAGGTGTCTTGTAACCTGTTTGAAATATGGGATACACAAATTTTGTATTTAAAAATACTAAGCACAAAACAATAATGAATTTTTCAACTCAAATGTATGTGTTATTTGGTAAACAAGATAAGCCCTACGTAGGAAGGGTACAAACAGACTGAGGGTGCGAATTTCGAAGGTGTGGGGTGTGAATGTAAAAGGGATGAATCTGAATTGGAACGAACATGATTTTGGGTGAATTAATAAGGACAAGAATTCGAAAAGAGGGGGGATGAATAATCTGGGAAATATATTTTGCCATTTTTTTGTCTGGGAGCAAGGGGGATGGAAGTAGTAGGGTAGAAAATTTTAGAGTAAAAGGGAAGGGAAATGGGAGTTGGGGATAGGGAGTGGGAATCATGAACTCCAAATAATTATGAGGTCTTGGAAGGCTATTTTAAATTTTTGCTTTGACGCCTTACATCAGTAAGGCGTCAAAGAAAAAAAAAATAATAGCCTTTCTAGACGTCATAATTATTTGGACTAGGAATCATGGACCCCTTTCCGAGGGAAGTTATGGGGTACCCCACATTACTAGTCATTAGACGTTAACGATAAATATTTTACTCCATTAATTTGACTCTAACGTGGCTACGAAATTAGATTTTACGAATGACGATATAAAATCAAGACTCATTTGACGCTAACGGTAGCGCATAAAAGCTAAAGGACATTATTGATGCTGAAAATGACCACCCCCTCCTCTTTGACTGTTTGACACGGATATTTTTCAAAACAGGCTATACATGTTCACAACTTGCCAGTTAAGGGTCAAATAAACACATAAATAAGATACCAACCATAACGATTGTACACAGAACAGAAATTTAGCCAATGCAAGGTTTCAGCCGCAGTGATTTTCTACGTAGCGAGTATTTTGAGATAACCCCCCACTTTGTATTTTACGTGATACTGATAATATTTGGCCGTCTAATAAATTAAAATCTATGTTTTCTTACGTAATGACTCTATCTTCATCGTTGTCTATCCGCCACGATGTCTGTTATTCATGTGCATGGTCGTATTTATCAGTGCAGTATGCTGCTCGGCAATGGCGACCCTGAAATCTCTGTTGTCCGATTACGGCGCCAAATTAGAGGGAAACAACTCGCGCCAGACTAATTTACCGTATTTCACCAAAATAATAAAAAAATCGCTTTTTATAACAAACAGTAAAATGTTAATCACATTTATATTCAGCTATCGTCCATTGATATAATTACAAACATTATTTTATCAAAGACATCAATAAAAAATTCACAAGAAAGTAATTAATGGAGTGCATTGAAATCAGACCTTATGGGGTAGAGGGGTTAAACAAAAGCTCGTAACTTTTTTAAAAGCCTGGTGACCCCCATTTTATTTTACCTTAAAATGCTCGAAAAGTTCATACCTTTGACATATCCGTTTTTAAAAAAAATCTACCGGGGAAATTTTACGAAAAATCCATTTAACCAATATTTTTGACCTTAAACTGAAATTAGAAAATGCCAAATTTAGACATAAATCTGAAAATAAAAGGATTTTTAAGTCCAAAACAACCAAGGGGAACGTTTACATTTAAAATTTAATTGTTTTTTTCACATAATAATCATACTGACATGGTTCTAAAAGTCTTTGAATTTGATGTAGTCGTTATTGTTGAAAGGGTGGAAAAGTTTGGAAATAGGGTCAAAATCGCACATTTCGCTTCCATTTGAGGGGAAAACGAGCCTGGTGATCCCCTTTTTTCTTTGCATTTTTGGATTCAGCATAAAAAAATCTACAAAATATGTGAAAATAAAAAAATTCTACCGGGGGTCATTATTGGGGTGAGCCACCTTAAATATGAAAAATCTATCAAATATGCCACAAAACGTCACTTTTCAGATGATTTTTGTCTAAAATGAAAGTGGCCGCATTCGTGTTCAGTTTCAACCTTTATATATGTTATGTAATATCATCAAGTACAACATATATTTAAATATTAAGACTGAACACAAGTGCGGCCACTTCCATTGTAGACAAAAACCGTCTAAAAATAGCACAAATGTTAAAATTGTGAAGATTTCAGTAATTTTGCAGGAATTAATGATGCTAGTACCTGATGCATGTGCATTGTCTTGTCAAAAACAGCCAATATTTATGTAGCAAAAGTATTCTACTTTCCAATAAGTAGCTAAGAGTTTACATTTTAACAAATTTGTAAAAATGCTATATTTTGGGGTCAAAAGGGGGTCTTACTGGACCTACTCCTTTCAGAAAAACATAGGCAAACACTTTTCCAATGAGTAGAATGTATAGTCAAATCTTTCAACAAAATGTCTGACGAGGAAAAGTTTACATTTATATATTTAACGAGTATAACATAACTTAAGTTGTTTTTAAAGGGGTGAATGATTTATATGTACTAAGAAATAACCTAGCTGACAAGAACAACTAGAATTTTCATATTCAAATTTGTGATTATTTTTATAACATATATATTTGTTTGGTTATATTTTATAGCATACATCAAGAATATTATAAAAAATAAGGAGATGTGGTATGATTGCCAATGAGACAACTATCCACCCAAGTTCAAATGAAGAAGATGTGTGTAAGCAATAATAGGCAACCGTGCGGCCTTCAACAATGAGAAAAACCCATACCGTATGGTCGGCTATAGAAAGCCCCGACATGAAGAAATCTAACAGCCTAGTTTATAACAAAACAATTTTCGAAAAATGAATATGACAGACAAAAACCAACGACAACCACTGAAATACAGGCTCCTGACTTATGACAGGCACACAAAAATGTGGCGGGGGTAATCGTGTTTGTGAGCTCCCAACCCTTTCCTTAACCTGGAACAGTGGTGTTACAGCACCTATAAAAATCAGTTTAAAATTGCTTATCTCATCATATCGATACAAAGCAGAATTTTTTTTAACAAAAACACAGAACGGACGTGGCAGGGTATCTATACATCCCTAACAACAAAAAGGCCAAAGTACAGATCTGAGAGTACTCGCAGTTACTGACAGGTAGTTCAAAGCCAATAACAACTAACAAAAGAAATCATGTATCTAAGAATAATGTATCAATCAGTATGTACTTTTATTTTCAAATTTGCAAAAGTATCATCTCCTCCAAAATATCTAAATATATGATTTGTTAACTTCGAATTTACATGTTTGTAAATGATGTCACTTGCATGTTATTTATGTCTTGGTAAAAATCCAATATTTGGATTTTATACCAATACATGATTTGATTTTATTTGATTTATATATATCTATGATAGTAGTTAGGCAACATAAAACCATGACTGGATAGTTTATGTGACAGTAATATTGTTTTCTTTGAAAAATCTCTTGTAGTGGACAAAGGAATCTTATCATACCAAAATAACAAAGACTGTTTTTGAACCTTTTTTGGCTTATCTGAATTATCTAAAGTTAAATGTAAAAATTCGAAATTTGAAAATCAGATTTGAAATTCAAGCTTCATAATTAAAAAAAGTTGGAAATTTTAAATATTTTTATGCATTTAATAGTGTTCTGAAGAAAATGATCAAATTTGGACCATTAAAAGACTTATCTTTATTAATCACAAAGGCTTGCAGTTTGGAAAGTTAAGGATGAGTAAATTATTATCAAAGACAATTACAATACATTATGTGATTTTTTTCTTCATTTTTGTTTCCTTTAAACATATTAACAGTTCCTTCCTATCTGTCTACATGTTTTGAATTAATTGTATTGAACCATGTTCAGCAGATGAAATTAGCTTTTGTACTTTATAATTTCTTTTTGATATGGTCTCCACTTTCTATAACGCTTACGTTGTAGCCATTGTGACGTTTTTTTTTTATTAATATCAAAATAGAAAATTTCCAATATAGACGTCTATAATAAAACTTCAAGGTATAGCGTTTTAATTACTTCGTCAGTAAATCGTGGCAGTTAAAATTGGTAATGGAGAGATGGTTTTGGATATGGTGTGGAACAGTCAGTAATTTAACTCCCTTTGAAAGATGATCATGGATATTGTGATGTTGGGGAAGGTCGGGGTCCAACTCTCTTTGAGAGGTGATCGTGGATATTGTGGTGTTGGGGAAGGTCGGGGTCCAACTCTCTTTGAGAGGTGATCGTCGATAGTGTGGTGTTGGGGAAGGTCGGGGTCCAACTCTCTTTGAGAGGTGATCGTGGATATTGTGGTGTTGGGGAAGGTCGGGGTCCAACTATCTTTGAGAGGTGATCGTGGATATTGTGGTGTTGGGGAAGGTCGGGGTCCAACTCTCTTTGAGAGGTTATCATGGATATTGTGGTGTTGGGAAGGTCGGGGTCCAACTCTCTTTGAGAGGTGATCGTGGATATTGTGGTGTTGGGGAAGGTCGGGGTCCAACTCTCTTTGAGAGGTGATCGTGGATATTGTGGTGTTGGGGAAGGTCGGGGTCCAACTCTCTTTGAGAGGTGATCATGGATATTGTGGTGTTGGGGAAGGTCGGGGTCCAACTCTCTTTGAGAGGTGATCGTGGATATTGTGGTGTTGGGGAAGGTCGGGGTCCAACTCTCTTTGAGAGGTGATCGTGGATATTGTGGTGTTGGGGAAGGTCGGGGTCCAACTCTCTTTGAGAGGTGATCGTGGATATTGTGGTGTTGGGGAGGGTCGGGAGCCAACTCTCTTTGAGAGGTGATCGTGGATATTGTGGTGTTGGGGAAGGTCGGGGTCCAACTCTCTTTGAAAGGTGATTGTTGATGTGGTGTTGGGCGAACGGGATAAGATTCTTTTTCAACTTCGTTATTTTAGAAGTTGTTGTTTTTGTTGTAAAGTCTTATATTTTTATATAGATCAGATCGAAGTTCATTTGCCTTCTTTAAAAAATCTTTTATTTTCGTTTCTAATTCAGGACACACATGAAAACAAATTTGTTTGAAGATATGTAATAACTTTGATAGTTTTATTCTCTGACTTACTATTTTCGGGCTTTTAATATTCAATCGACATAACCTTATAGAAAAACCTTTTAATCTATTGGGTTAACCGAAATACACAAAAGTTAAACAAAATAGTCATGAGGTTTCCTTAATTTATACATCCCGTCTCGCTTTTTTGTTTGAGTTCATGCGATTCCCTCAGTTTTTGATTTTTACCTTACCCTAATGGTTTATGATTTTTTAACATCGGTAAACCCCTGTTGCTGCTAATTTGTAAAGCTTTAATCTTGTTATCCGTTGTTTTATTTGAGTCAATGCTAATACTTGATACACCAGTATTGCCTGACCGTTTAGCCAGCTTCGTTCCAAGATTAGTTTGAAACTAGAAAACCAGGTTTAAAAGACCTTATATTTTACACATTGCCGTGAAATTGTTTTTTTACACTAAGACCAATCTCATCCCTTCCTCCGTCTCACCAGTCCAGTTTCAATACCAGCATTAACTTATAACTACATTAATTGCAAACTCCCGATTTTTAGTTTGCAACCGATTATCCGAAATTAACACAAAAAGAGATCATCATCATATGCGAAAATGAACAAAACATTTACTCAGTATGGCAAACTATCCTTAATACTTGGGTTCTGTGTTACTTCATCTGAGTTTTATAAATTGTTCCTGCTTTAGTCAGGGTTTTGTATGTCCTGTCAAATAAATGTTACATCTACTCCGTATGGCAAATCTGTTAACGTTTTATGTTGGGTTACTTTATCTGAGTTCTGTTTTATAAATTGTTCCTCCTATAGTCAGGGATTTGTCTGTCCTGTCAAATAAATGTTCCCGGTAAATCCGTGGCATATTCATCCTTACAAAATTACTTGTTTAGTTAATTGTTTTCATGTTTGTCATATTCAAGCAACGTTGCCACCGTAGTATATACAAAAAGATGTGAACCAATCCCTATAATTGAATTATAGCCGTTTTTAATCATTGTTTTTATTTCTTTCGTGTATTTTCCGGATAGAATCATTTCATCATAATTATATTTCCTCTTTGATTTTGTGTTCGTATATTATTTTGCTCTTCTGCAAGGAATTTTTTTTTAAATATTAATGAATATATAAATTTTGTAAGCATACATATATATCTAATTAAAATTCAGTGCATAATTAAGCAGATTATGTGAAAAAAAAACATACTACGGGTGCCTATAATTGCTTTATCTCCACTTTATTTGAACTTTGGTGGATAGCTGTCTCATTGGCAATCATACGACATCTCCTTATTTTTATAGTATGCTATAACATTGCATTGTACTGTTAAATTTGCAACGTATGTCATTTTGAAATACCATTTCTTAATTAATCATTAGTGGATGGAACAAATCAAAATAACTGTCACTACAGCATGTCAACATGCTCACTTGTAGTTGTAAATATCTAGGATAAAAGAGTTTAGGTCATATAGTTCAAACTTAATTTATTTGAGACAAGACCTGAGATATATGGAATCCCTCCTTATGCATGTTTAATCCTGAGTGAAGAGAGATAACAGTCATTCATTTTAAATAACTTTCAGATCAGCTTGGATTATTCTTCTTTGTTTTCCTCTTGAGCATCTTTGGTCTAACGTTTCCAAATTTTGTTCGACTTTGGGGATTTGGGAAAAACAAATGTACTTTAACTCAAGGTTTATTTCTTAAACCAATGTCCATATACATTGCCTAGTTTAGAAATGATCTCCTTCTATGTAGTTCAACCCACCATTTTCATTCAAGTGTCTGTACAAAATCAGGACTATAATAGACTAGTCAATTGCCAGTTGTTCCCATGAGGTGCCACTCAAGGAGCGGGCATGTTGCCTACCCTTCCATAGCAGCTACGTTCATCCTAGTCATTGGTGGGGTTCTTGTTGCTATATTCTTAGTTTTCTTTGTAGTATTTTGTGAACTGATGTTTTTTTTTTGTAGTATTTCTTTTGGTCATGGCGTTGGTGTTTTTTAATACTCCCTTGGTATTTATTTTCATATGGGTTAGAAAATGTAAAAAGAATTGAAAGGAGCAATAGATATATAAAATAAATGACATGTTGTTCGATCTACAATGAGACAACTATCCACCAAGACCAAAGGACAATGCTTCAGATTTCCGTACGACATTCAACAATAAGCAAATACAGTAAAATATGCCTTTCATAGTCGACTATACGGTATGGTTTTTTTCTCTCATTGTTGAAGGCAGTACAGTTGTCTGTAATTGATTAAAACCAACTTTACCTACATATGGGATATACATTTGCAAACTCATTCTGTATTCAAGAGCTTGCAGCTGCTACTCAGACTTTATAAAACATCACCAGTGTCTGAGCAAATAGTTGATGAACCAGGGTAATGTCAAAGAACGTCTCGACCTTCTTCTTAAAAATTTAATCGGAAGATACCAAGACCTTGTTGATAAATATTCTGTATCGACTTCACAAATAATACATGATGGTCTTGAAGTATAGATTCTAGGTACTGACGTTGTTTATCATCTAAATTACGTGTTATAGTGTTCTTTTTCTTTTTCTTGTATATTGTTAACTTTTACTGTTTATTCCATTTTTGCTGGGACTATTATACTAACATTATACTAGTATAACAGTCCTAGATTTTTGAACAGCGATTTACTACTGTTGCCTTTATTTGGTAATATCCTTTTGGCATGGCTCGGTATTTATACATCCCGCCATTGTGTTATTGTGCTATGGTAATTTTTTGTATTCTTGTCTTTCATTTTTGTTTATATGCTTTGTCTTTAGTGTCTATATGTCATTTTGTTTTCTTTGTTGACATAGTTGTTTGTTATTAGTGATTAAGATTATAACACATTGTTAACTGCTGTACCCCAATTTTTGACAGTTTTTCCTATTTTGTCTGTTTGTTTTGATCACACATTGTTGTCAATATAATGGAGTTCAATGCGACTGTCATACAAGTTAGAGTTTTAGCTAGCTATGAAACCAGGTTTAATCCACAATTTTCTACATAAGGAAATACCTGTACCAAGTCAGGAATATGACCGTTGTTTTCCATTCGTTTGATGTGTTTGAGCTTTTGATTTTGCCATTTGATAAGAGACTTTCCGTTTTGAATTTTCCTTGCAGTTTGGAATTTTTGTTATTTTACTTTTTACATCAACTTCATTTGGTATGGTTGATAATTGTCTCATTGGCAATCATAACAATTCTCCTTATTTTTATATAAAATAATTTTAGGTTACCGTCATCTTTGCATGAATTGATGAAATTTAGAATAGACTTCTGTTAAAATAAGGTTAACAGCTTAAAGATGAAAGAAAAATAAAACGAATACTAGTATCCACTAAAGCATAAAAAAATATCACAATGGCATCAGTACAATCTATTTTTTTTATTTATAAATAGTTCATGATTTACATTATTCCAGTACCTAAGAGAAATGTGACATTTTACTTTATCAATATGTAAAAAAAACTACTAATATTCGTAAACCTTTTTTGTTTCATTTATCACGACTTATACATTGAACCGGTATATGATAAAAAAAAATTGTCAAAGTGAATATCTTCTAAATTGCAGTGTCTTAATTTTCTAAAGATTATTCCATGTACGTCAATTTGTTTAAACAAATGTAAGATATTACATCTGCTTGAAAGAGATACAATTAGAAATAATACTGTCATTTAGAGCTAAATCGTGTTCGTTTTTCCAACCAGGTCTATTCCCGTGCTAGAAGGCTATAGTCTTCGGATGTATCATCTATTCCGTGATTGATGGAAACTTTAACATGCCCAGCGATTTACGTCACGGGCATCTAAAGGCATTATCTGACCTAAATATCACAAATGCTAAGGATTTTGCGTTAAAATAATTAATGAAAATTCACGGAGATTTTATGGGCAAATAATATGTTTTTTTTCTACCAAGAAGACAAGATTTGTATAGTATTGACACAGAACGGTAAGCTTTGAAGTGATTAATATAAAATTTTTCGAACGGTCGTATGAGGGGCTCTTTTTACCAACTGATTGAAATCTAACAACTTATATACATCCTAGTGGTTACAAAATTTTTTTTAAACCAGACTTTTTGGAATAACACTTTGACTCATTGTCAAATTATTATAGATGTAAACGAGAAAAGCCCGATAAACAATCAAAAAATAAAGAAATGAACATTTTTAACAAACGCATTTAAGAACTATGAAGATAGCTATGTAGGAACTGAAGGTTTATTCCCGATTGTCCCACTTTTTAAAATTTTAGAGTTCTGATTGTCACACATTATTTTATGATGTAAAATGTTTTTAAATAAACAAGATAGTTATTGTTTGTTTTGCCAAATAGAATTAATTATTACATGTTCGAACTATTATTTGATATAAATTTTATAACTGTATAAAATACGATTTTTTTAAATCATCAGATTAATGCACTTTTGATTAAATTCGATATAACATTACTGAGTTATAACATATATCTTAAATGTTATTAAATCATCAGATAAATGCACTTTTGATTAAATGGTATAAAATTTCTGAATTATAAAACATATCTATAATGTTACGTTTATTTATAAAACAAATATCAGTACTGTAATTTTTAATTTTATTTTTTAAGATTTAAAATAAATTTTTAATATTGCATGCAAATTAAAAAAAAGTCTTCACATAAGATTCTTTACACTACTGAAGACTGCTTGCACCCAACGTCAGATTCACCTAAACCCAGCAACTTTCTTTTATAATTACGAAGCTGCTGTTCAGAATTCTGCCAGAGCATCCTTTCCAGGAATCACTATTGAAGGATATTTTTT